AAAAAAAATACATAAAGTGGGTCTGTTTCAATCTTTTGTCTTTTCCCACGGCCAATTTCCCCTTTGTTAGGGGAGATTGACAGCAATCTCCCTTATGCCCCTTTTCCACCGGCTCTACTTCAACAACCCGGCTCGGCTCGGCTCTGTTTCGGAGGGACCGCGTTTCCACCAGCCCACTTGGCTCTTTTGCAGGGTACCGCCTCCTGGTGGCGGGGGTAGCGCCCCGCCTTCAGGAGCTACTGCTGTACTTTGTTGATATTTTTCTGATACAAAAGAAGAAGAGAAAGCTGAGCTATTTTTTTTATAGCCTGATTGCGATTTTTCTGAGACTAAAAGAAAATGTGACAGTGGGAGGAATGCTGCGATGTGGTGAGGAGGAGCTGATCTCCGCCTTGCAGCGGCAGGAAAGCAGGTGGCTCAGACGGTTCAGGTAAGCTAACGATGATTTTTGTATTAAATTAATACAAAAATCATGAGCTAATGCTCATGTGTATTTGGCACCATTACAAGTTTTATCGTAATATTAAAAGTTTATCGTAATGTCAGTCAGGGTGTTGCAAATAACTTACAAATATCAGAATTAATTCATAATATATTTCAATGTGTTTTCATGTTGGTAAACTGCCGCCGCAGACCATCGTGGTTCTTCTGCAGCCTTTGGGTTGTAGGATCTCATCAGTGTCCGTCTTCCTGACTGCTGGTCGGTGTTTACCTTCAGGATGTCCAGAGACCTTCACCTTTCTGGAGCAGGAATCACATGAGCTCAATATGCTGATGAAATATTTCTGATAAAACGTGCCTTATGTTCTTACAGAGTTGAAATGCATTAACAATCTGTTTTTAACTTCTCAATACGTTTAATTATGATTCACCTGATGTCCAAGTTATAGCTGAGAACAAATAAAGCTTTATTCCTTCTAATCTGACTGGTTCTAGTTCCATGTTTTCACATTTTGGACACTAAGAATTAAAAGTTTAAACTCAGTCACTAATTAAGGTTACAGGTTTTGGACACATTTTCTCACTTTCTTACATTGAAGATTCTACAGGAAGATAGAATGATGATGTATAAACTAGAAACTAACATGATTTGTATTTAGGGTTCTTGTTAATAGAAACCCTGATGTCAAAATGTTTGGTTTGCTGAATAAGGTATTCCGTTTTGGATGGCTTCATTGGTAATCTACAATGTTAAGTTCAATGAAATATTTATGTAATATAATGTTATTTTCACTCTGGCTAAAGCTCCTCACATTTTGGGAGGATTGTATTAGGAGTTTGATGCCATATAAACTACAGTATATACAATAATGTGTGGAGTGAGCAGAAATATAGAGACTTTGTTCACTGAGACACAACTTTTATTTTTCTTTTGTTTGTCTCAACTCTCCATGGAGCTCTGCCATCTGCTGGTAACTGCTTCCTGATGAAGGAGATCCTGTTCTGATGGTTCTCCTCATCATTCTCCATCATGTCAGCCATGTTGCTCTCCTTCTGCTCCCTGGGAAAAGTAATTAGATGTTGTAGCTTATAGCACATAAATGTAGATAAATAACAGTTACTAATGTGGAAGGTACATACACATAAGGAATTATTTAAAACAGACATGTTACTTTATATATAATAGCAAACACTTTTTTTTTTTTACCATCCAACCATCCAGAATTATAAATAACTGGAATAGTGTAAATTAAAGACAAAATGTAATTACTTGTAAGTTTTAGACCTATGCATGCATACAGCCATGGATAAAATACCACTATCGTTTTCTTCAGGTTTATTGCTCATTCTACAATTAATAATTCATAACAATTTGATTAGAGAACTGATATCTAGCCATTTTACAATAATAGGATGTCATATAACATGTTTTATTATCTCGCAACGGGGGAAACTCAGATGCAACAGCAAAATGAGAAACAATCGAAGCACGTAGATTCACGCAAAGATAAGAAACAAGCGAAGGTAAAATGCTGTACAATATTGAGTTATTTATAACTGTAATGTGCAACCGAGTGTCTTCAGAAAATGCGCATGTTGTGTTTGAGCAATAAAAATACAGCAGACTTTGTGTTTTAAATGTCTTCCATGACTGTATGTATGCAACCTTAAATGTAGTACAAACCAGACAGATATATCTACAAACTGCTCACCTGGCTGGAGAGCAGCAGCGGCGTCAGCTGCGTCTGGTCGGTGTTCACCGTGAGGCTCCGTCGGCTCCGAAGCGGCTAACGAGGTTTTACATACGCTCCACTACTGACAAAAACGACTCATTCCTCACGGCTCCATCGAGCTGCTGCTGAATATTGAAATCCGAAGCAAAGAAAAAAGCCGGCATCGTTTTTTGGTTAACGGCTTGTTTGTATCTTCCATCACTTCCGTGTTGCAGCGAGTTTCAGACGTTGCGCCTTCATTTTTCTTCTCTCTCCGCTGCGCCGTCTTGTCCACGCCCTAAGCCAATCAGTGAACAGCATCGAAGCTTGCATCACCTACCAAACCAGGGCCAGCCCTGTTGAAAAGGGCTGGTGGAAACGCATTTAAAGCGAGCCGAGCCGAGCCGAGTAGAGCCGGTGGAAAAGGGGCATTAGTTAGGCATCCTAAACATTCTGCAAGACATTTCAGAAAGAGCTTGAACTCTTCGGCTGAACACAACCAGAGGTCAGAATCAGAATTAGGATTCTGATTCCAAAGTTTTTCAGTATGTTGTCTTTTATGTGTACTAATTTTATGTTATCTCCTTTTGGGTTACTCTCTTTTATCTCAGGTGTGTATAGAAAAAGCTAAAGGTGAGATTCT